CCCCGGACTGGCGAATTGGCTCTCAACCCTGGGAAAGCAAAACTAACCCCAAAAAAAAAAAAAAAAAAAAAAAAAAAATTCAAATGACATAACTATTCTGTGATATTCAAGATCAGTAAATAGAATTCCCAGTTTATGATCCCAGTTCTACATGAACATTTCAATTTGTGTAGTTTTGAAGGTTCTGAAGAATTTGGCAATTCATTTTATGAATTATTATGTAATTAACTATATTATACTATTAAATTTTGGTTAACAACAAAGCTTTGGTCAGCAGAGGAAACAAATTTTATTTCAACATTTGTCAGGCCGAGGCAGGTGGATTGCTTGAGAAAAAATGTAATCTTTTTCCCCCCAGAAATAAGTAATATAACGTAATCCTTTTTCCCCCCAGAAATAAAAGACGTCTGTCTAACTTTTTTCCCTCATATAACAATGTTTGTTTGCCCTCTGTCACTAACACTCTAGTACAGTGTTTCTCCAAGTGTGATCCCAGACCCCATTTCGGAGCTTGTTAGAAATGCAGATGCTGGAGTTTCACCTCAGATCTGCACAAAAAACTCCAAGGGGAGACCAGCCAGCAGTCAGTATATTAATAAACACCCCAGGCGATTCTTACACCCACTAGAAATAGAGAAGCACTGCCCTAGTGGCTGCCTCTGTTCTTGCCCATTATCAGCATTTCAGCTGTAAAGGCCAGCATAAAACTTAAAATTTCCTTTTTTGCAAATAATGCAACCACTGAATTCTTTCCTTCCTGCTTCCGTGCTAATAAAACTCTGTAGTGTTTTGGAGCTAGGGAACCATACAGGTAATTTAGTTTTATGCTCACAATGTTGTGTACATTGGGGAGACAGAGTTATAGAAGAGCTAGGTTAACTGCTTTATACAGTTCTTATCTAGAACCAAGGCCAGGTTCTTTGTATCACATTCATTGCCTCCCATGTCTGTTGTCTGTCTCATTATCTTATGTACTTTGCTTTCCCCTTCTCTATTTTCTTTTGTTTGTTTGTTTATTGCTAACTCATTACTTCTGTCTGCCTTGCCTTAAACCCACCAGTTCTTTTTTTCCATGGGACTATTTTCTAGGTTATTTTTTGAACAAAAGTTGAAAAGTCTACAAAATTAGAAAATTCATGGACTCTGTTTACATTGGTCCTCCAGTTTTTAAAGTCTGCTTTTGCCTTTTGGGCTACTGAAGTGGTGTTAAACATGTCAAAAATGACTAGTCTTTTTATTGACTTTTTTAACCCAGTCTAATTGATAGGGAGATTTCTGCCCATCTTTGCCCATTAACGGAGACAATAAAATAATCTGGTTGAGAATAAGGAACCATTACAGGTTTCTCTGCTAGTTGATTATTTGCTTGTGTCCAGTGTTGATTAGATATTTGCCAAATCATTTGCTTTGATATAACAGTCTTACTCTACAACCTCTTTCTTAGAATTGTTTATTAAAATCAGAATAGGTTTTATGGCTTTGGTTCCAGTTTCATATTAATGGTGTTATCTCCAGTAGTTCTCCAAAGATGGTGCCTGTATAAATAGACTGTTACACCTTGGGAACCTCTGACTATTCACAGAAGAGATGAGGTGGTTTAAAAGTAGTAGAATTAAATAGAATCATGGTGTTCAACTCTTCCTATCACTCAATTGTATGTCATTGGTTTGCCAGATTAATACATGTTTTCAGAGAAAGGGTTTATCTTTTCAAAAGTAACCTTACTCTCCCACAAAACCCATTTATGTATCTAAATTGTGGTTTCATGTTCAGAAAAGGAACCCAATTTATATACCCAATCACTGTGTTTTTGTCATTTGCTCTTACAGAATAACTCTTAATGGTAAGAGTTAATCTTTTATGTATAATTAGATGTATTGCTTCATATCTTTAGCTCCATGTAATCTTATATCCTTATCTCATTTTTTTTTTCGGAGACAGAGTCTTGCTCTGTTGCCCAAGCTGGAGTGCAGTGGCGCAATCTCAGCTCACTGCAACCTCCACCTCCTCAGTTCAAGCGATTCCTCTCCCTCAGCCTCCCGAGTAACTGGGATTACAGATGCATGCCACCACATCCGGCTAATTTTTGTATTTTTAGTAGAGACAGGGTTTCCCCATGTTGGCCAGGCTTGTCTTAAACTCCTGACCTCAGGTGATCCACCCACCTCTGCCTCCCAAAGTGCTGGGATTACAGGCATGAGCCATGGTACTCAGCCTCTTCATTTCTTTATGGCGCTGAGTTTGCTTATATCAAAAAAACAAACAAACAAACAAACAAAAACAAAAGAAAGTTGTCCAGATTCCTAACTCAGTTTGGTGTTTCAGCTTTACTGTTTAGCTGTATAGAAACCAAAGCATTTCCTTACCTCCATTCCCAGCAGCCAAGTCTCAAACAGTACTATTTAAAGAAGTTCTTTGGGCCAGTTACGCTGGCTTACGCCTGTAATCCCAACTACTCAGGAGGCTGAGGCAGGGAATTGCGTGAACCCGGGAGCCAGAGGTTGCAGTGAGTCAAGATCGCACCACTGCACTCCAGCCTGGGCAACAGAGCAAGATTTCATCCCCCCGCCTCCAAAAAAAAGAAATTCTTTGTCACTTCCTGATATAGAGCATAAATTTGTTTTACCATCAAATTACCCAACATCAACCTGCACCCATTCTCCGGAGATTTAAGCAGATGAAGGTTCCATTGCCCTATTTCAAAAAGCAAATGTTGCTGATTTGTACGCATTCAATCCTTTGCCGCAAATGTGTCATGTCAATGCAAAACTCTTCATTCTAGATCTTTGGTGTTTAGCAGGATCAGCTACTACTAGGCTGTATTTTCTTTTGTTCAGCATTCTCTGCCAGCAAACCGACAAAATAAGAGATTCATGAACCTCATCCTTCTCCCACTCCTACCCCAGCATTAGGCCTTATTTAAATAAAAATTTGTGGTGGTATTTCATTAGTTACCAGCTTTGAGGAGAAGTGGCAGTCACTTACTTAAAGCAATTGTCTCTGAAAATGCATTCTTGACAAATTAGCTTAGCCTAATTGTCTATCCTAAGGGGGATTGTTTTACAAGTTCACATATAAAAGTACCTAAATGATTGTCTTCTGAATCCCTCCCTAGTAGAAATTGAATTTGGCATAATTTGGCATCAGTGAAGCCAATGACTGTACCTGGGATTCGGTGCATATAGAATTGCATTAACTGTGACCCTTTAGCCAAGTGGACATAAGACTTTGGCTCTTAGGATTTTCTCAAATGCTAATAAGAACATCCCAAAGAGAATCCATTTACCTTATGATATATAAGAATATTTCAGGTGTGATATTTTGATCTTACCAGGTCCAGTCTAGCTGAGCTGGACATGAATTGAAGAACCAGGATTAGAACTACAAAATGAAACCCAGGCTGAGGGCGGTGGCTCACGTCTTTAATCCCAGCATTTTGGAAGGCCAAGGCAGGTGGATTGCTTGAGACCAGCCTGGGCAATATGACGAAACCCCATCTCTACAAAAGATACAAAAATTAGCCACGTGTGGTGGCGTGCCCTTGTAGTCCCAGCTACTTGGGGGGCTGAGGTGGGAGGATCACCTGAGCCCAGGAGGTCAAGGCTGTGGTGAGCTGTGATCTTTCCACTGAACTCCTGCCTGGGTAACAGACTGAAACACAGTCTCAAAAAAAAAAGGAAAAAAAGAAAGAAAATTAAATAGGATCCATTTCCAAAGTATTAAAATTTAATTTATACTTTGTCAGGGTCTCCTGATATTCTTCACTTGGTAATTTAATTCAATAAACATTTGAATACCTATTTTCTAGGTGTTTGGCAGGTGTATATTAGAATCCTTGGTACCAGAGACTTGACAGTTTTTGCCTATGGATCTAGTATTAGGTTTTAAGCTAATAAAACCTTTATTTCCTTCCCATCCATGTTGTTTAACAAATTCTAAGTGTATACCTTTTTTTAAAAAAAAAATACAACATTAATAATATAGTGCTCTGGAGAAAATAACCAAAATTCCAGATATTTATCCTACATATATGTGTTGTTTACTATATGCAAGGGGCTCTTAGACCCAGGGGAGCAGAGGGCCTACCAGGGCATGATACCTGCCTTCAGTAACTTTCAGATCAGAACGGATGGTAGAATGTACATAGATAAATATTTTGAGCTCTGTTGTGATATCTGTCATGTTGTACCTTGCACTATATAGTATTCTGATAGTTCAAAGGGACATTTATGTGGAAGAATCATGTAATAATTATGGCAAAGGTTTTACAACACATTTTTTACCTCAAATTTTTTTAAACAAAACAAACTTGTGATCTACTTAAAACATTTTTTTTACTAGCAAAAAGGCTTTAACTTTTTTTAAACAAAACAAACTTGCGATCCGCTTAAACATTTTTTTTTTACTAGCAAAAAGGCTTTAACTTTTTTATTTATTTAATCAGCTCATTTTACTGTTAGTACTGGAGCATGAATTTTTTAGAACAAAGACATACTTAGTTCATCTTGTTTATTTGGAGACGGAGGCTCACTCTGTCTCCAGGCTGGAGTGCCATGGCATGGTCTCAGCTCACTGCAACCCCCACCTCCCAAGTTCAAGCAGTTCTCCTGCCTCAGCCTCCCAAGTAGATAGGATTACAGGCACACACCACCACGCCCTGCTAATTTTTAGCAGAGACGGGGTTTCACCATGTTGGCCAGGATGGTCTTGATCTCTTGACCTCAGGATCTGCCTGCCTTGGCCTCCCAAAGTGCTGGGATTACAGGCATGAGCCACCGCACCTGGCCTGTTCATCTTTTAGATTTCCTTCTTCCACTTTTATTTTTAGGCTTCGTCCAAGCCTACCAGTCATTCTCTCACTTTGCTTCTGTAATGTAGGCCTTCTCCCTGAGAAGCTGGCTAGATCAGGTAGTGATCATAACATTCCTAAACCAGTAGTGCTGATGGCTCTGTGTATGGAGGGATATTTCATCAAAACCGTTTTCTCTAAACTTAGACTTAGCCCTGAGTCAGTAATACTTCTGTTTACTACATTTGAAATAGCTCCCTCTTACCTGGGCATAGTGGCACATGCTTGTGGTCCCAGCTACTAGGGAGGCTGAGGTAGGAGGATTGCTTGAGCCCAAGAGTTCAAGTCCAGCCTGGGCAACATCATGAAACCCCTGTCTTTTCAAAAAATAGAAAAGAAATATCTTCCTCTTAGAAGAAACCTCAGTCTCTATTTTGAAGCCACTTAAGATCTCTGAAATTATTTTAATGTTTTAGAGAATTGTTTATGGTATCACCTGACCTTTTTTTTTCTTGATTTGTTTTCTTTTTCTTTGTTATTATCCTGTGTTTAAGGGAGAAAAATAATTTTAAATCGAGCGATTTCTTGGTATAATTCTTGCTAATTTTTAAATCTAATTTTTAGCTTAATTCTTAATTTAAACTAAAATTCTTAATTTTAATATAGGTGGTAAAAATTATATCTATAAAATTGTAAGTTCTATCATTTATTTGCCAATTATAATATTTAGGAAATTAATGGTCAGAGTTCAATAATTAAAACCAGATTCCTTCTGAAAACCAAGGAACATTATAATCATCTAGTGTCTAATTGTATTTCACCCTTTTTTTAATCTTATGGACATCACTCACTTGTTTTTTTCTTCCATTCTTTGTAAAGCTTCTCTGCCTTGCTCTAAATCAGCAGTTTTCATGCAGCTGTTCCCTCATCAAGGTACTCTTTACTGTCATCATCTTTGCACGAAATACTGCTTACCCCACACTCATCCTGGGCACATAGCATGAGACTTTACTCACCAGTCCCTGTAAGCTCAGTCTGGCTTAGGTACTTGAGGAACTTGTAAAGCCACCACTTTATAAGGTCTTGGTACTTACTGGCATTGCAGGGGCAGTGTGTGGCCTATTTCGGTTAAGGAGCTGCTGATACTGACCGTGAACAATGAAGATGTGATCCCAGACCTGGACTAACAAAGGCAGGTTAATAAGAAACTCAAGAGAGAGTTAATAGATAAAAAGCAGAATATATGGCTTGATGAAGTTTTTTTTTAGCTTAGAAAATAATTTTCCCCAAATAGAAAGCCAACCCCAGTGTTTCCTTAAAAATTAAAGCTGGCTGTCTACTCAGTCACCTGAGGTTAAAAAAAGGAATATGGCCGGGTTCGATGGCTCACACCTGTAATCCTAGCACTTTGGGAGGCCAAGGCAGGCAGATCACTTGAGTCTAGGAGTTCAAGACCACCCTGGATAACGTGGAGAAACCCTCTCTCTACAAAAAATACAAAAAGCTCTTCACAGGGCTGAGGTGAGAGGTTGAGGCTGTGGTAAGCCGAGAGATTGCACCACCACACTCCAGCCTGAGTGACAGACCAAGACTGCCTCAAAAAAAAAAAAGGAATGTGATCATTAGCTGTAAGGACTAAGAAGAAAAATTTGACAAATTTATGTCCAATTTATAAAAGATGCCTTTTCTGTTACTGACCTGTAATTATTATACAAAAAGATTATACCTAAACAGAAAAAGAAGTACAGTGGAGTACAGTGGTATGATCTCAGCTCACTGCAGCCTCCGCCTCCCAGGTTCAAGCAATTCTCTTGCTTCACCCTCCTGAGTAGCTGGAATTACAGGTGTGCTCTGCCAAGCCTGGATAATTTTTTTTGTATTTTCAGTAGAGACGAGGTTTCACCATGTTGGCCAGGCTGGTCTCAAACTCCTGACCTCAGGTGAGCTGCCTGCCTTGGCCTCTCAAAGTGCTGGGATTACAGGCATGAGCCACTGTACCCAGCCAAAAGTTCTTACAGTTATAATTTTGTATATTTAGCTCAAAATAAAAATATTTCTAAGTATATATTTAATATGCCTCTATGAATATATTTACTGTAGCTTAAAAACAAGCTGTAGCTATATTTTCTTCTAAGATTTATTCTACTTTGTGCTTATTTATATTAGCTTCACTAATTTTACATATTATAGCATAAAATTAAAGTCCTAGTATTTGTTCTCAAACTCCTTTCAGTGTATCACCTGGTCTTTTACTTCAGATATTAGGAGCATCTTAATTTGTGGAGTAATTATTTTATCTGTGTGTAAAAATTCTTCACATAGATTATTTTATCTAACAACCCTTTGAAATAGACAAGCCTGCTGTTATCCTTAATTGCCAGATTAAGAATTAGAACTAAAGAGTACCGAGCCAGACAATCCTCAAATCTGGGCCTTCTGACATGTTTGACTTCTCCTGTGTATAATAATAGTTTTCTAATAAGTTTGCCATATGGCATATGAAATAAACTAAATGCAGAGTCAGGTAACCTACTAGTCCTCCTGCACAGGTGGTGGGAGATTTGGGTTATTAGTCTCTCATTTTTTTAGTATAATTTCTCACAAATTACCTTACACATTTTTCCTTAGCTTTTCAAGAGTTAAAAGTGATTCAGTTCTTTTATTATTTCATGATACTATTGTAACTGATTATTTCAGTTTGGGAAACCAAAATTGTTGTTAAAAAATAGGTGACTAAAAAATTGTCAGGCTGGAGCTACATCACTAGTTGTAAAAATACACAAACCCTGGGCCTGGTGCAGTGGCTCATGCTTGTAATCCCAGCACTTCTTGTGAGGCTGAGGTGGGAGGATCCCCTGAGGTCAGGGGTTTGAGACCAGCTTGACCAACATGGAGAAACCCTGTTTCTACTTAAAATACAAAATCAGCCAGGTGTGGTGGCACACACCTGTAATCCCAGCTACTGGGGAGGCTGAGGTGAGAGAATCGCTTGAACCTGGGAGGCAGAGGCTGTGGTGAGCCAAGATCATGCCATTGCACTCCAGCCTGGGCAACAGGAGTGAAACTCCATCTCAAAAAAAAAAAAAAAAATACACAAACCCTGATACCTGCCTTCAAGGCACTCATGTTTTAGCAGGGGAGATAGACATATAACTTCAATAACAATAATGTAACCTAATCATTTTCCCTAACTACTCAAATTCACTAAATTTTGGCCAGTAACACCTTCTATTTTGGATTTTGTCTTTATGGGGAACCACCACAATTTATTGAAACATACTACTACTGATATACTGCTGTAGAGAATGTCCAGCTGTTTCTGCTATGCATGTTTGTAACTTGCTGCATGTTTGACCATAGCGTATCTGTGAGGTCATTTAAGCTAGCTACTCAGGACCACAGAAGTTTTAGCTGTATTTCCTTTGAGTGGTAGCCTCTGGGTTTCTGTTAGTCACTTTGTAGTTTTCTCTTTTTGTGTCCACCAAAGGCCAGAAGAGGGAACCAATGCTTCAGGGGCAAAAGAGAGACCAGAATGCAAAACTTCAAAGGGGCTGTAATGAAAAGAAGTGCAACCCCAAGGCCTTCTCCCTAACTTAAAATATGGCATGTACCATATTTTATGCAGGATGTGTTCTGTCTGCAGTGGAACAATCTGTCGGATAATCTGAGAGTTTTCCTATGGGACATTGAAGCAAAATCCTTCACCAGCTCATAGAGAGATTTCTAGATTTAATTCTAGATCATAAAAAGAAAGAATGCTACCAAAATTCTTAGAAGTGATCATTACACTTAGAAACTTAAATGCCAGAACTAAATACTATGATCATTCTCTTTCATACTACCTTGGCTTTTTCAAGATATATTTTTTCAACATATATTTTGGTGTAAATATAATGCATTTTAATTTTTTTTTTTACTTTGCAAGATTTTTGTTAGTTTCTCCTTTTATCCTTACAGTAAAATATATTTGCTGTGAAGTTGAACTTAGGAATCACAGTCACACCACATTTACCTATGTGTGATTTATACAATTGGGTCACTAGGTAGGAAGAAAACACACATTCCAAAAACAAGAATTGAGATGAAAAATGAATTTGAGAATAGAAGTAGAATATCAATATTTGATACCGTGTTGAAGCTTTTGCTTATAAGTGACAGGGCCGACAAGTCACTGTACTTTTATGTTTTTAATTAATGTGCTCATTAGGAAAAAAATTGGAAAATTTCAAAAAAAGGAAAAAATTACTCACTATCCTATCATTCTAAGGTAGATAACCACTGTTTATTAACATTGTGGTGCATTTCTTTCCAGTTTCTTTACATACTTGAGGTCATAGTATGTGAACAGCTTTATAGCTTGTTTTGTACTCTCAACATTTAACAGAGATTAGGCCTTTAAAACTGAGGTTTGAGGGTTACTTGCTTCACAAAACAGAAAGTGGAATGTTCTTAGCACTTCTTTAAGATACTTCACCCTAGTGACTTCATCTACATTACTACAATTTATGTAATTTAAATTCTCAAGAAGCAGGCCATTGTGCCCAAACAGAAGCATTGCCACCCATGTAATGACTGTTGTCCCCTCAGAGTAGGCCATGGTCTAGTAGTAGTAAGATCCACAAGAACAAGCCCCAGGGTAGCAGATTGCTGACAGAGAGCCACAAGGCCTTCCTAGTGGTCATCCATGCTTCATGCCCCTCCTGCATGTGGGCCAGCTCCAAGTTGTTTCAAACCTTTGTCTTTTTAAGGTGCTAGCTTTGCCCGAATCTTATTTCCTATTAAAGAAACAACACAGAATTACTGGACTTGAAACTTGTAGGCAAATTTTAGGAAATGGAAGGTCAAATATGCTGACAACTTCATAATTTTAAATGGAGGATGCCAGAGGGGAAAAACAAAAAGTTCTGTCTTTTCAACTAAAAATATTATATCACTCCCTGGAGATCAGATATTGCACACTCTGGGGCTCTGAATTATAGGGATCTAGCTATCACATTTTAAAATTGAAGCATTCAGTTCAGTATTAATTGAAAATAATTTTTCTTTTTTTTTCTTTTTTTTTTTTATAACCTGGCAACTTTCATTAAATAATTTTTCAATTCATTGAAAAAATAACTAGATTTTATAGAAAAACAAAAATGAATAATAATGATCTTTACCCTTCTAGGTAGTAGGATGTACTTAGTAACTTAGTAGAGGAAATGAGATGGATGTACAAGTTGTGGAATTACAGGCAAGTTAATTTAAAAGCAAGGAAGGAGAAAGTAGTTCTGGCAAGAGAATAATGCATCATGAAGGAAAAGAAAATGAGAAAAAAATACGGGGTGAATTTTATCTTGTAGAGATAGGCAAGACAATTAAAAGAGCCTTCACAGATATACATCCCAAAGAAGTTCAAGGCACATTCCAGAGATTATGAGCAGCCTTCTTTCAGTTTTGTTATTTCTTTTATAAATAGCTCTAGAGAGGATGCAGATAAATACACAGAATTTAAATTGACCAGAATTTTGTTACCCAGAGAAAAGTTCTGTGAAGGTTGCTAGTCATCTTTCTATGCATATGATTAGATTAGAACATGACTAGCCTTAAACATTTTAATCAATAAAAGGTTTTTTTTAAAGATTTGAATAGAACAGATTTTAAGTGGTTGTTCAGCTGTGCTTGCTTTCTGAAGAAATGTCGCTGATGTTTTTCATTACACTTATATGCCTGACACAGTGCACATGTTCATAAACAATCACTGACAAATGCCTGTATTCCTTTGACAGCATTTCAGATTTTCAAGACAGCAAATCTCTGTTGAGCCTGTGTAAACCAGGCCATGTGCTTATAGATGCCTGATACTCTTGAGTTGAATTCAGTGCTGAATCCAAATGAAGGATGAGTGGCTCCCAGAGGGGGGTCATCCCAAGTTCATTTCCTGTTCATGAGCCAACAGATAACTCACTGGGTGGATCTGTGTACATTTTCTGTAACATAATGAATAATTCTTTACTTGAAATACTACTTTTTGTCCAAAGATGGAAATTTTTCAATTCTAAAATTTAAAATTTCAATATAAAAATAAGCATAAAGTCCAAATTACCTGAAATCTTGCCATACAGACATAAAGTATATATATATTTTTAGTCCTTTGGCTTCTGACAGAGATAAAATGTTTTGGCAAATGTTTACCCAGCCCTACCCCCTGGCCCCCTAGTGTGTGGGTGTTTTTTTCCTACTCCAAAAATTGTGGTCATCTTTCTATATCAGTAAATATCAATCAGGAATGTACCTTTTGATGCAAACCACTAAAACTCTCTGCAACTGTTTGTACTCCCACCAAAAGTTATGCCAGAAGTAGGTTTAATCAGTCTAATAATGTTGGAGGTAAATTGTATTGATGTGTAACAGAAAAGTACACAAATTGTAAGTTTACAGCTTAATGAACTTTTAAGAAGTAAACATACTTGAAAATCCATTATCTACATCAAGAAGCAAAACATTACCAGCACCCCAAGAAGCCATCCTCATGTCCCCTTAAGTAACTACTTCCACAAGGGTAACCACCATCTTATTACCCAATTTGTAATCTTCCGTAACGTGATAGGTTAAAAAAAATCTTATTTTAGTTTCTGGTTAATTTTCTGAAGTTACTGCTTAGATTATTTATAAAATGCATTGGGGTGGGGTGCAGTGGTTCAAGCCTGGGTAACATAGCGAGACCCAATCGCTAGACAAAATTTTAAAATTAGCTGGGCATGGTAGCATGCACCTGTAGTCCTAGCTATTTGGAAGGCTGAGGCAAGAGGATGGCTTGAGCCCAGAAGTTCAAGGTTATAGCGAGCTGTGATCATACCACTGCACTCCAGCCTGGGCGACAGTCTCTAAATAAATAAAGAAATTAATTAATTAATAATCATTGTTAGGCCCAGCTTTTGGAGGTTTAATCTCCTCCTTCAGAGAAATAAATAGCATCTGTTGAAGGTTGCAGAATATGAAATGACTTGCCCTAGTTGAAAAGAAGCAAAGATTCTACAGTATGACCTTTGTGTGATATATTATTAGTAAACAGTTTCTTTGGGACAGGCACTGTAATTAAAAAATAAAAAGCATCTGAGTTTTCTTTGAAATGACAAATTTGCTGGAAAGATCAGTACTTTCTGCTGCTGGAGAGTATATTCTGTTTATAAACATGAATGAGGATATGAATGAGGCTAGAAGCTGACCTCTGCTGGAGGTTTCTGGTATGATTTGGAGGGAGGAACCCTAGTCTTCCCTGGTGGCTGCTAGCCTTTCATTTAGCTCAAGCCTGCCTGCCTCTAGCTTTTCCTTGTAACTTCTCTTTTCATTTTTCTTGTGCTATTTTCTGCTATGACAGCAAATTTTGCCTAACAAAATGTGGTTTTCCATGTGACATTACCTTGATAAACAATCTAGCAATCGACTATTAAAATGAAATGTGCATAAGCAATTTGCCAGGCTGTATCTCATCACAAATATAGTCACATGCCGAATAACAACATTGCAGTCAACAACAGACCACATATACATATAGGCAGTGGTCCTGTAAGATTGTAATACTAGATTTTTGCTGTACCTTTTCTATGTTTAGATATACAAATACCATTGTGTTACAACTGCATACACTACACAGTACAGTAACCTGCTGGACAGGTTTGTAGCCTAGGAGAAATAGGCTATACCGTATAGCCTTGGTGTGTAGTAGGCTATGCCATCCAAGTTCACGTAAATACACTCCACAATATTTGCACAGACAAAATTGCCTAATGACAATTCTTCCCTAGAATGTGTCCCCATTGTTAAGCGACACATGTCTGTAATGAAATTCAGTCCCAGAAGGAAGAGAAGAAGTAACTGTTCTGTTTTTCTCCAGGACTCGACAAGGAGAACGTTGAGCTCTCCCCTACCACTGGCCATTGTAACAGTGGACGAACTCGCCACGGATCCGCAAGCCAAGTGCAGAAGCAAAGAAGCGCTGGCAGTTTCAAACGTAATAGCATTAAGAAGATCGTGTGAAGCTTGCTTGCTTTCTTTTTTTAAATCAACTTAACATGGGCTCTTCACTAGTGACCCCTTCCCTGTCCTTGCCCCATCCCCCCATGTTGTAATGCTGCACTTCCTGTTTTATAATGAACCCATCCGGTTTGCCATGTTGCCAGATGATCAACTCTTGGAAGCATTGCCTAAATTTAATGCTGCCTTTTCTTTAACTTTTTTTTCTTCTACTTTTGGCGTGTATCTGGTATATGTAAGTGTTCAGACAACTGCAAAGAAAGTGGGAGGTCAGTAAACTTTAATTGAGAACATCTCAATTGTAAAAGAGAGGATGAATTCTTGAATACTGCTACTACTGGCCAGCGATGAAAGCCATTTGCACAGAGCTCTGCCTTCTGTGGTTTTCCCTTCTTCATCCTACAGAGTAAAGTGTTAGTCCTATTTAATACACTTTTCAAGATAGAAGTTTATGAGAGAAATAATATTATAACCCCAGTATGTTTAATCTTTTAGCTGTGGCCTTTTTTCTAACCTTACAAAACCGAACCAACCACAGAGGTCAAGCCTCAGTGACTTGATACCATAAAGCCACAGACAAGGTACTTGGGGGGGGGGGGGAATTTCATATTTTATAGTGGATTCTTAAGACATACTAACACTTGAGTATTAGCAATAATTACAGGAAAATAAGTGTGACCACATATATCTTAACATTACTGAATTAAAACTATGGCTTCTAAGTCCTTATCCAAACTCAGTCATCCAAACTAGCTTATTTGTTTCTCCAGTTGATTATCTTTTAATTTTTAATTTTGCTAAAGGTGTTTTTTTGTGTTTTGCTTTTTGTAAACCAAAACTATACTAAGTATAGTAATTATATATACATATATATACATATATATGTGTGTGTGTGTGTATATGTATATATATATGTATATTTTTTCCCTCTTCCTCTTCTTCCCTAAATAATTCTGAGCAGGGTAATCAGTGAACAAAGTATTGAAAATTGTTCCCAGAAAGTAATTGTCATAGATGTTTGCATTAGCTCCATAGGAAAATGGAATGGTACGTGACATTTAGGGTAGCTGATATTTTTATTTTGTTAAATAATTTCCAAGAATAGAGTATGGTGTATATTATCATACATTTCTTTGATAAGATGTATTTTGGATGTCTTTTAATTTTCCTCCTCCCCTCCAAAAAATCAGAAACCTCTTAAGAAAACAATGCTAGAATTGCATTTAATCACTGTGAAAAGACTGGTCGGCCTGCATTAGTATGACAATAGGGGGCCATTAGAGTTGCTGCTATACTGGTGGTATGGATTATCACGGCATCGGAATTTTCATAGTAATGCAGATCCAAGTTCTTTGTGGTACCTGCAGTGTACAAAATAATTTGACTTCAGTGAGCATATTGGTATCTGGATGTTCCAATATAGAACTAAACCATATTTATTACAAAAAGATATTAATCCCTCTACTCCCAGGTTCCCTTTTTATGTTAAGATATAATGGCTTTGGGAGGGGAAAAAAGAAACCTAGGGGAGAGGGGAGTTTCATGTAGTGCTCTTCATTAGAGAATTTCAGTAAATTAAATTCCACAGCTAATTCAATAAATAATGGTACATGTAAGTGTTCTGATTTTAATAATATAACACATTTCACATTTATCCACACAGTAACAATGTAATATGTTAATGTAAATAAAATTGTTTTTGATACTCAGAAATAACAAGAATTTAATTTTTTTAATTTGTTTACAGTCCTGGGAAAAGTAAGAATTATTTGCCAAAATAAAAGGAAAGAAAACCTTAGTATTATTAGTGACTTTAACATAGAATTGTTGGAAATATTGAAGACAGGTGCAATTTACTAAACTTTTGTTTTTAACTATTGTAGAGGCTGCATTAGAAGAAAATGTTTATAATAACAGAGCAACTGAGACTATAAAGAAGCTAAAATTAGAACTGAGTTTAGAAATAGATCAGTAACCCAGTGCCAAGGATGCCAAGCTGCCACCGTGGTCTTGGCTCTCCCACAACCCAGTGTTTCTGGGGTAAGTTTCAAGTTTCTAGGCCGTGGAGTAGCAGGCAATGTAAGCCTTTAATAACTTTAGTTCAATGTTTTTATTCTTCTTTTTTTTGTTGTTGGTTTGGTGCATATGATGGTGGGTGTTAATGCTATTTTGCTCTTCCCATCAAAATAGAGAGACTTCCAGCGGTTTACTGTTAAAAATATTGATCTTTGCATAAACAAGTTTACCAAGGTATAGTATTTCATTCCTTCTGAAATGATCAGCGTTGCACAAATCAAAATTGAGCCGCCTTTGAAGTGCAAAAATACTTTTGACTAGTACATCCTAGGAATTTGAAAACTTACTAAGGTTTAAAATTTACCTTGTTTAAAGACTTTTGAGGAAAATCTAGCTTTCCAATTAACTAAAATGTACATGGGATAAACCTATGTGTTTATCACCACTATGTGTTCCCTGAGAAATGCAGCACTTTGTTAGTCTTCATACTTTGTGATCTATAAATGAAATTCTGAGGTTTAGAGCAAGTTGCCCATTTTTGTGTAATTGACATAAGTTCTGTTGAGAATATTGTAAGTAATTCATCTTCAGTTTGTGGTTGTTTCCCCTGACTTTTTAAAGAGGAAAACGGGAACTCAGTCACATTTTTGTCCTGCATAATCTACCTGTTCTGCCAGTACTCCCATCGAGGGGCGTGCCCTTAGTTGCCGAGATGGAGATGCAGTTCACTAGCTTTGGGGCAAAGTGGCTAGAGCTCTGTCTTCTGTTCACTCAACACCTGTCCATGACTGAGCCAGGTGCCCAGGACATATCCTGAACAGTCAGCCTCTATCCTGTGTCCTAGTCGGGAGACAGAGTGTCAGCCAGCAACACTCCCAAGTTTGTAGGTTTTAGGAGTTTTCAGTTTGTTTGGGCTTTTTGTTTTTTAGTTTTGTTTCTACATCCTCCCTGACTCCCAGGCATAATGAGGCATGTCTTACTCAATGTTATGCAATGGATTTAGACAAAAATTCATTCTTAGTGTCAGCCACACAATTTTTTTTAATGCAGTATATTCACCTGTAAATAGTTTGTGTAAAATTTGACAGAAAAGTATATTTACTACACTGTAAATACATGTGATGATATATTGTATTATTTTGCTTTTTTGTAAAGCAGTTAGTTGCTGCACATGGATAACAACAAAAATTTGATTATTCTCGTGTTAGTATTGTTAACTTCTTCTTGCGACTGCGTTACATCATTTAAAGAAAATGCTGTGTATTGTAAACTTACATTGTATATGATAACTTACTCTCCTTTCCATCAGGCCTAAACTTTGACAGTTCCTTTGTCTCCAACCTTGTTAATACTGTAAGCAGTTGTACGCCAGCAGGAAAAATACTGCCCAGCAGACAAAATCGATCATTGTAGGAGAAAATCATAGAAATCCATTCAGATCTTTATTGTTCCTCACCCCATTTTCCTCCTTGTGTATGTACTCCCCACCCCCCTTTTTTTAAGTAAAATGTAAATTCAATCTGCTCTAAGATATGAGGAGTTATTTAATTTCTTTACATGTATCCACCTCTGTTTTCTCACTTCCCCCCAGTTTTCTCAGCCATTTTCTTTAAAGATGTTTTTGGCTCTCCGACTCCCCATGGGAAAGATCTTTCCATTTCCAGAACTTCTCCACACTAAAAGTGAAATATTTTGGTGTAATGCTTTTTTAGGGCCTGCCAACCTCGGGTGAGTCTATTCTCTGGGATAAGCTGGCTTCTGTTAAAATGAAGCCAGTCAGAAATGTCAGGTCATCCCAAGATTGACCAATCAGAGGGTAGTTCTCTAACTTTTCAGCTTTCCTACTATTGAATCTTCTGTGACGCTACACGTGTACACAATGTAAACCACCTCCTCTGGCTCAGCTGCCCCGTGTTACTATTTCACTTAATTGATTATGTGGGGTACCTCCCCTGATCAATGGAGAAAGAACCCAGCCCAGACCCAGTGGGCAGGACAGAGCTATCAGAAGGGTAATAGTGTCTGACGTTGAACAAAGGACTAAAAAAGACCATGTGACATATACCTGCAGGTCTGAGGCAAGTACGGGTCTGTTTATGGGCAGGCTTGGAAAGTAGGGGTACCTCACCTGGGTCCCCATCCCAATCCCCTAAGGTAAAGGCAAACTCTCCAGGGATGGGCTATGGGGAGAAAGAGTGTGTGTTTAAGCTTCTTTTTTTTGAGACAGAGTTTCACTCTTGTTGCCTAGGCTGGAGTGCAATGACATGATCTTGGCTTACCGCAACCTCCGCTTTCCCGGTTCAAGTGATTCTCCTGCCTCAGCCTCCCAAGTAGCTGAGATTACAGGATCTCACAATGATGCCTGGCTAGTTTTATATTTTTATTAGAGATGAGGTTTCCTCCATGTTGGTCAGGCTAGTCTTGAACTCCCAACCTCAGGTGATCCTCCCGCCTCGGCCTCCCAAAGTGCTGGGATTACAGGCATGAACCACCGTGCCCCGAGTGTTTAAACTTGAGCGATTTCACTGAGCACCAGTGGTTTAAAGACCACTGGAGTAGAGAACTGAAAACTCAAATACTGCAAATAGCTGCCTTTTCCCTGCGGCCTAAAGCATCTTATAAGGTCCAAACGAGGGGGATGTCTTTAGGGTAGTCACCCTGTAGATCACAGCTCTCCATTCCTGGACAACAAGCTCCCTGAGGACATGGGCCACTTAGTACATCTTGTATGGGCTCTCTGCCTGTTGTCTGCTTTGCTTTCCGGGACACCCTTAGGGTTGTCTAGCCATTCCGAACTGCCTGGCTTGAAGAGTTGATTCCCAGGGGGTGCTGAGGAGGGTCTAGAGGTGCTGGAAGAATAGTAAAAAATCTACAACCAAGTGGTAGCATCTCAGTGTTCCCCTTCCAGAAAGTAGCCCATCCCCGCCACCACCAAGGTAAGCCCCTAGTGGTGGCAGGCGTCTTGGGAATTTACCTTCATTACTAATTGTCCCTTGGTTTCTACCAGTAACACTTCCTAACCTGCTCACTGCCACATCTGAACTCTTTGAAGGGCAATTAATTCCCCCAAGTAATCTGCCAGACCTATCTTCATTAGAAAATCAGTCTTCATGATGAGACTTGATTATGAGAGAACAAAAAAAAAAAAATTTGAAAAGAAATCAGTCTTCATACTGAGGTGAGTTCCACTTAGCACCCTTTTAGCTGCCAATTTAAAAGAAGCCCTTTTGTAATGTTGGTTATGTTTCTATAAATATTAGAACCAGCCAGGTGAAGTGGCCCACGCCTATAATCCTAGCACTTTGGGAAGCCAAGGTGGGCACTTGAGGTCAGGAGTTTGAGACCAGCCTGGCCAACATGGTGAAACCCCATCTCTACTAAAAATATAAAAAATGGCTGGGCATGGTGGCTCACACCTATAGTCCCAGCTACCAGGAGGCTGAGGAGAGAATTGCTTGAACCCAGGAGGCGGAGGTTGCAGTGAGCTAAGATCGCACCTCTGCACTCTAACCTGGGAGACAGAGCCAGACATTGTCTCAAAAAAGAAAAAAAAAAAAAAAACTATATGCTACAGCAACATAGTCACTGTCAGTTTGAATCTCTCACATTTTGTTCTTTTAGAAGCGCTGGCTAATCATAAGTTTCATAAAGTAATGTGGAGGTATAATTTTAATCAGTTGGTTTGGCTTTTTAAAAAATTATCTTCTCAAAATCCGTTTACACTATGTGTCTGTATGCATATTACATGTGCATATGTAGATGCGTATTTCAAGTTTCCAAAACAGCTTCATACATTTTACCTACATTGGGCCAAGTTATTTTGTCATTTTTTTTCTCTCCCCTGCATCCCCTTCATTATTTTGTCTTTTTAAATTTTCTCCAAAAGGGCATATTGCAAAATTATTTTAGGTCCTTTACTGTGTCTTTATGCTGGGAGTCTAGCTAATAGTGATAAAGGGCATTAAGCTTCTGGGGTGACAAGGTTCAGAACTTTCCCCACTGGCCACTTCCACATAAAACAAGATAGTCACATTGGAATCTTAATAGGACCCTTTCCTGCTCAGAAGTTCAGAGAGCATTGCCTAAATTAATATTTTTAAGGGAAGAAAATGTTGACCTATATAACCTTAGCTGATTGCTCAAAGAAACATTTTCTGTTAGTTATAAAGAAGAAAGCTTGGCCTTTGTCCTCTATGACCTCATGGCTTAGTGGGGAAAACAGCTACACAAACAATGACCACAGTGTCCCAAGGTGTGGGTGGGGTTCTCAGAGGGTCTCGGAGTGACTGGCATGGTTGGCAGCTGAGGAGGTGGGTCTTGAAAAATGACCAAGAAGTTTGTCCAGGTTGAAATGTGTCCAGTGAGCAGTTGAAAATAGGGTTTTGGAGTCTTTAATGGACAGGAGGTAACCAAGGCCATTAACAGACTGGCCCAGAGAGGGCAAGTAGCAGAGAAATATTTAGTCAGAAAGTGGCACACCACAGGAGATTGGCTTCTCTTGTTATTTTTCTCCATTCTTATGTCCCACATTGAAGAATGCAGCCTAATTTTCTACATTTAAAAAGTACATCAGCCAGGTTCGGTGGCTCACGCCTATAATCCCAGCACTTTGGGAGGCCAAGGCGGGCAGATCACCTGAGGTCAGGAGTTTGAGACTAGCCTGACCAACATGGAGAAACTCTGTCTCTACTAAAAATACAAAATTAGCCGGGCATGATGGCGCATGCCTGTAGTCCCAGCTACTCAGGAGGCTGAGGCAAGAGAATCCCTTGAACCCGGGAAGCAAAGGTTGTGGTAAGTTGAGATCATGCCATTGCACTCTAGCCTGGGCAACAAGAGTGAAACTCCATCTCAAAAAAAATAAATAAAGTACATTAAAATATGCCTGGGCCAGGCGTGGTGGCTCACGCCTGTAATCCAAACACTTTGGAGGCCAAGGCGGGCAGATCACCTGAGGGCGGGAGTTCAAGACCAGCCTGACCAACATGGTGAAACCCCGTCTTTAAAAATAAATAAATAATAAAAAATTTAAAAAAATGATATGCCTTAGCCTCAGGCCACAAAAATAACAACACTTTCTGTCCTAGCAATTATAAATGTTTTGAGTCTGGCCCAAAGTTGAAGTAGAAAGAAATGGGTGGTAAAGAGATACTCTCTTTGCAATTTGGTACTTTGTGAATGGAAGGCAGAAAGGAATTCGGTGATCTGTGCCTTCATAAAAAAAAAAAAAAAAAAAGGCTACACCAATACCACTGTTACTCATATCTAGGATTCTACAGGAGCCAAAAAAATCATTATCAAAATACCAAGTCTTTTTGAGTGTGCAGCAGTCAGTCATTCAGCAAACATTTGCTGTGTGCCTTGTTGTCACTCGATTTGAGCACCAGCACCTCTTGGAAATGCTTTCTGATCTCCCATTGGCTGCACTGAGAGCCTTTCTCTTGCTTCTGTGACAGCTTCTCTATACAACAACATTGTAATCATCAACTATCTTCCTATGTCCCTGGTTAGGACTTCGAGCCTCCCAGTGTAGGGAACATGCTTTGTTCAAAGGTGCTCAATGGATAGTTGCTGAATAACACTGAAGGCTTTATGTTATAAAAAACGACGTAAATAGAATAATGGGAAAAAAGACCCCATTCACAATAGCAACCCCAATACAAAATCCCTAACAAAGGTGATCTGTGTAATAAAGACCTATTGAAAATTCTAATCCAGACTTTGAGATTTCACAGATCAGTAACATTTCCAAAATATATTTCATCAACGTATGCATTTAGAAACAACAAAAAATATATCTAACTTTTTTGTAATATTCCATTTCAACTCTGAGTAGTGAGGGAGGGAATCAACTGGAGATAGTTCTCTAAAAAGGAATGAATTTTGCTTTATAAAAGTCACTATGTTGCCCTCAATTTTCTCTCATTGCTGCTGCTCGTTCTCTGCACACCACTGCTCAGCACACAGGCATGTCAGGGGCTGCGCTGACAGGAGACTCCAGCAAATGGAGAGGCAGACCACAGGCCTGGGTTGGAGAGCTGAATATCGTTGAATGCCAGATCTTCCAGAATAAACGAACTGGCTTAACACAATTCTGATCAAGATGCCAACAAGAAGAGAGTGTATCCAGACAAAATGATCTTTGGAAAATATTCTTGTCGAATAAACAAAGCATGGCTAACAACAGGTAGTTGAAAACTTTCCTTACTAGATAGTAAAACAAAATTTTTAATGCTTAAATTCTAATGGTAATTAGAGTAAATAAATAAAATGGAACAGGCTAGAAGTTCCAGATTATGCTTTTTTTTTTTTTTTAAAGATGGGGTTTCACCATGATGGCCAGGCTGGTCTTGAACTCCTGACCTCAGGTGATCCACCCACCTTGGCCTCCCAAAGTACTAGGATTACAGGCATGGGCCACCGTGCCCGGCCTGATTTTTTTTCTTTAAAAAGAAAAGCATGAGTAACTCCCAAAGTAGTGGCTTCAAAGCCACAAAAGCTTATTTCTCACCTCTGCTACATGTCCATCAC